GATCTTATCTCCTATGGTCACTCCTACAGCCCTTCTCAGACATCTCATTTCCATGGTTACTAATTTTCTTTTATGGTTTGTTGTGAGTGACCATGTCTGGCACTGGTAGCACAGAGTTGGAATAAATATGCTTTGAATAAGATGTCTCTTTGTGCTGATTGGGATTGTCTTATGCTGTAAGAGGGGAGCTAGCTGTCCCAATACTTGGTTTGCTTTATTGCATCTAATGTCAATTTCTTTATCCAATTTCCCGTCTTCGGTAAATGTAGTTCCCAGATATTTAAACTCAGATGCCTGTTTAATGCCTTTGCACTCTATTGCTATTATTAGATCTGTCTTATTTTTTCCTATTTACATTACTTCTGTCTTTTCAGTGTTGATTCTCATATTATTTGTTTTACATTCTTCATTCATGGATGTTCGATGTTGTAGCAATTTCATGGCTGTATCTGCTATCAAGGCCTGGTCATCTGCAAAGAGTAATTCGTTGATCTTACTAACATTTTCATTCATGGGCTTGGCATTCTTGCATATACTGTCGATGTAGGTGATAAACAGCAGTGGTGATAAGACACACCCCTGTCTTACTCCAGATGTTACTGTGAATGGATGAGATGTTCCCTGATTTATTCTAACTACACTTCTACAATCCTTGTATAAACGTTTGCACACTTCGATGAGGTGTTATGGAGTGATGGCATTAAGAACAGCCTTACAAAAATGAACATCAGTCTTAATAGTGCTCTTGACAGAGCTCATCAACGAACATTGCATCCCCCCCCTTCCCCCCCCCCCCCCGACACTTCGATGAGGTACAAGGTGGAAGAGAAGAAGAAGAAGAAGATGAGGTGTTCGCTTACTCCATTGTCTGTCGACTCTGTCAAATGCCTTCTACTGGTCTACGAATGCCACAAATAAGTTCTTATTGTATTCAATGTTCTTATGGTGGTCTCTGCCCCTCTAAATAACTCGTGTGTGTGTGTGTGGAGAGGAGGGGGGTTACGGTGTCCACCCTCTTTTTTCCCCACCCTGGTTCTGGCGCCTATGCCAGCACTGCCTTTGCGACAGTGCCCCATCGACCTTATGTGCAGGCTTCTTATTTGGGGCTTGCACATATAAGCACAGCATCCAAACACCGCGTGGCTAGAACTGAAAATCTACAGTTCCATGTCAGGATTTTGTAATTTATTCATGAACTAGGTGTTGACCGACTGACATTAAACTTAAGGCTTATAAAGTGAAGAAGCATAAAGAAAGAATCAAAGGGATGGGTGCTGCAGTTCAGAAGTTCTTATCCGTGTGCCACTGCTACTGCTGCTCCTTCTAAATCACGTTACGTTTCACTTGTTTCCTAAAGGGTCAACAAGTCACCAAACGTGCTACTTGTCGATTACCCAGAAGTCGGGAGTCAGGAAGTGACGTCCGTTTTCCACGCTGTCTACCACCAGAATCTCCGAAACCTGGTCGCCCATTTGCCGGGAAAATGTCAGGTAAATTTCATTTTCGATAGATATACTACTCAACAAGGGAGTCGCAGTGACCGAGCGGCTAGACGCTCGCCGCGGATCGGAAGGTCGTGGGTTTGCTCCCTGGCGGAGCCGGACTTATTTCAAAAATGACCTTGGCTCCCAGGTCGACCCAGCCTTGAGTGGGTACCGGGTGCAGTCGCGGAAAAGTAAAGGCGGCCGGCGTGATGCTGACCACATCACCCATCTTGTGCCGATTGGTCTATAAAAATATAGGTCTAGCCCTATATGCCCTATACGCCTAAAGGCGTGGAAAAGGGGTCCTTTACTTTTTTTTTACTACTCAACAAAACTAAGCAAAACAAACAAAAACAATAGAGAAGGTGGGGTTAATTGAGGGGAGGCGGGACGCATACATCGTCAAAGTTACATAATGTTGTCATAATTGTTACATTCACAGTTTTTCTATGAGTGAAATTCTTCAAACGATAGTTTTAGGCGTAAAGGATTTTCCGTCAACATTTTAACAATGCTCAGTCCGATAACTATGCGTTTCTCTTTTCGAACAGTATAGATGTTTTTTGGAATAGTTGAAGGGCACGCGGGAGCAGAGGAAGACAGAAGCTATCTTGGACTGAAACCACTGAAGCGTCATTGTCATCATTATCGTGTGCCGTGCCAGTTAGTGAAGGCTGTCATGTGCACTTATCTTACTGTTAAAAAGATAGTTGCGTATCCTTTACAGGACGTTGCAGAACCAACACTAACAGCCCCTGGCTGTTGTGTAGTTTCTCTAGGCAATTTACATCAAGTAGTTTACCATTGCTGGCTGGACGGTCGGCTTTCTTGATACCACTGTCGAAACCAAGGCAAGGCGCATTGCCTGCAGCTGGGATCGAACCCGACATCCCGGCATTACGAAGCGAAGCGTTCGCATCGACTTAGCCACAGAGCCGACACTTATCTTACATGATCACCAAAATAACGGATCAGGGCACGGGTTTTGTCTCGCCCCACCCGTGTGGCCAAATTATATGGGTATTGTTTCGTATTTATCTCCCTTTCTTCCCAGTGTTCGATTTCCTTCAATCCTGTCAGTATTACAAGTTAGCCCACAAAACCCGCCATCTTTCTCTGTCTTCCACTTAATTTATTTTTTGATGTTGTCATTTCAGATTCTTCTTTGTCCTCCTCTTCTTTGACCCCCCCCCCCCCCCCCCTTTCCCGCTCCAATCTTCCCTGAAGTACCGTTTTTGCAGTCGAATCCTATCGCACTCGTATCTGCGACCTTTAACAACTGCCTAAAGAGACTCCTGACGTCCTGACAATGTGTATTTTGTCTCTCACATGTTTGTTTGTATTGTCTTCTAAATAACTGATTCGTAAAATTCGTCAGCAGGATTTACATTAGAAAGCCTGAATCCTCCTTTTCATTTCCACATTGCTATCGCGTGCAGCTTTCCCTATGTCCTCTCCATCCTATTAACTTTATTCTCTAGCTACCTTCTCCGTGTGTTTTTGTGTGTTCCTTTATTCCTATGCCACTGTGGCTTCCACTGAAAGATTATTTTAGTTATATTGTTTCTCGTATTTTCTGAACGTGTGTCCTATCCAACACGGCCGTCTTTTCTTCACCTCTTGGTTGACTGGAACTTGTTTAGTTCTCTCCAAAAGCTCTACATTAAAAAGCAATTATTGCATCCACTAACCGCTCCGTTGCTTCGCTAAAAAAATTGCCACGTTAAAAAAGCAGTCCCTATGGGAAAGCTTTAGGTTATAATCGTGACTAGGTTATGTGCGCTACATAAAATGGCTTAGCTTTGTACGCCATCATGAACCCGGAAAAGTACTCCTGCAGCGTTGATACGATCAAAGGAGACAGACCCCAAAACTGTCCCGACAGGCGACGAAGTCCTCTACCGGCGAGCCAATAGGCGATCCTGTCGCTGATGGTCCACTAAACAACGCAGAACAAAATAAAAGAGGAGACAGACTATTAGCTTTGACAGTTGAGCATAATATGCTTTCATAAAAACCGGATATCAGCAATATCAAAATAGACAAAGACCTGATAATAAGACCCTAAAATAAAAATAAAATAAAAATAAGAAACCATGTGACGGTAGGAAAGTTGGAGAGACCAAGAAACCAGATGCTGGACAGTTTGACATCATGACATTCAAGATCATCTGTGTTAGACTTGATTGAAAGTACATGAGACAGAAGGCTGTGTGTCAGCGCGTATCCTCATTCTGTTGGTTATTTGACCTATGCTTGTTAAACATGCTAACCTCTAACCTATAGTCAGTAGCTGGAGCTAAAGTTTATTCTGTAGTTCAAATGTCGGGTTGACAAGAGGCTGCGCATTCGTCCTTTAGATCTGACAGGTTGAATTCCCGGTACGGTAACTATAAATTCAGATGTCTGCGTGGTCTTGAGTGTTTTTTTTTTATTATTATTCTACATCTTTCTATGACTACCAATCAGTACATTTTATGTTTGTTTAACATATAAAATATTAAAACAATTGCCCCACAAATTCTGTGAAGCAGAACTTCTATTAATCTTAGCTGCGAGTCGACGCTGATATTTTACAAATCGTCACCCCTCATGTGGAATTAAATTTTTCGTTTTTCTTTTAATTCCCACCCTGGCTGTTGCTGGGAGCCCTAATATAACCTAACGGTTAAACGGGGTTTCTTGTACCTCCCATGAGTGATCTTCATCCGCATGGCTGCACTTTGTGTCACCGGGATTTATCACTCTGTGTAATGTCATGGTGGGGTAAAACTTACTTACTTACACTGCTATGGCTCCATAGTGAAGATGGCAAACAGAAAACAAAACATCACAGAACAGCCTGTTTTTATTTCCAGGTCAAATTGGACGCAGCGGTCAGGATCCCTGGGTCAGAGACGTCTTTCTTTTTCGTCGGTGATCAAGTTCTGGTTTACAGCCACAGCAAGAAATCTCAAGTAGATTCTAGGCAAGTGTCCGTTGTGCTATCATATAAAGTCAAGAAATCTCCAGTAGATTCTAGACAAGTGTTCGTTGTAATATCATATAAAGTCAAGAAATCTTAAGTAGATTCTAGGCAAGTGTTCGTTGTGCTGTCATATAAAGTCAAGAAATCTCAAGTAGATTCTAGGCAAGTGTCCGTTGTGCTGTCATATAAAGTAAAGAAATCTCAAGTAGATTCTAGGCAAGTGTTCGTTGTGCTATCATATAAAGTCAAGAAATCTCAAAAAGATTCTAGGCAAGTGTTCGTTCTGCTGTCATATAAAGTCAAGAAATCTCAAGTAGATTCTAGGCAAGTGTCCGTTGTGCTGTCATATAAAGTCAAGAAATCTCGAGTAGATTCTAGGCAAGTGTTCGTTGTAATATCATATAAAGTCAAGAAATCTCAAGTAGATTCTAGGCAAGTGTCCGTTGTGCTATCATATAAAGTAAAGAACCAAGTAACTTCTAGGCAATTGTCCGTTGTACTATGATGTAAAGTCAAGAAATCTCAAGTAGATTCTAGGCAAGTGTCCGTTGTACTATGATATAAAGTCAAAAAATCTCAATGAGATTCTAGGCAAGTGTCAGTTGTACTTTGATATAAAGTCAAGAAATCGTAAGTAGATACTAGGCAAATGTCTGTTTTACTGTGATATAAAGTCAAGAAAGCCCAAGTAGATTTAAGGCAAGTGTCCGTTGTACTAGGGCTGTTCATCTAAATTTACTCTGGAGCCGAAATGTTGAAAATGGGAGTCATCGCGGGCCAGTTACTCGAGCCCAAGCTTAAACAGATTATAATTACAACACAACTAGCATTGATCCAAGTGGCACTTGTTAGGCCTCAGCGGGCCACGATTGGATAGTTGGGGGAAAAAAAGAAGTAGAAAATATAAAGAAGGAAGAGGAGGAGAAAGAGGATACCAAAAAAGAAAAAAAGCCAAGTTTCTTTGATGAGACTGACTGGCCACTCTCTTCTTTTTTGGGATGGCTACATTTTGTGTTGTTTACTGCATAAACCTTGTTTTGCCAGTGTAGAAAGGTTACCACAGTACACAAGTCAATATTTATGTATCATTATATTATACATGTAGACTGTAATGGTTGAAGCATATAGAGCGAATGGCAGGTAACAGAGAGGCAAAAACAGCATACACTGAAGAGTTAAAATGGAGAAGAATGCGAGATTTAAAAACATAAATGTAAATTACCCATTTCCACACATTGAGGCGTATTGGGCATATAAAGCTTGAACAATATCTCACAGACCAGTCGGCACTTAGTGGTTTATGTGGTCAAAATCAGGCCGACCACCTTTACTTCCCATGCCTCCACGTGGTACCTATATCAGGCTTTGTTTCCTGGGAGCCAAGGTCATTTCTGGAGAAAATAATGCTTAGCTGCGTCAGGAACTGAACCCTTGATCTTCTGATCCTCAGGCGATCGTCTAGCCGCTACAGATCATGAGGTAGACCAAGACAAATACGGAATGATAATACAGAGGCAGACGTGCAAATGCTTGGAGTCACCGCCAATTGAAAGAAGGACAGTTAAAGAGATAAATCGACGCGGACGACATGTGCAAAGTGAAGCTCAAGGGCTTTGAATACTTATGCAGGAGATGTTACCTTGATACATGACAGGGCAGATGTGGTCAAGGCCCTGGGGAAACAAGCAACGGAATCAGTAGAGAAACACGATTATTATGCCCTAGAGAGAATAAGGCACCTGGGTGTAACCAGAAGGTCTGGCCGACTCACTACACTCAGAGCAAAGGCAAGACGGACAAATAACCAGATAGTGACTGGTACCATCAGTAATGGAACTCTGAGCTAGCTGCTCAAGATGAGGACTGAGCACGTATGCGAATGCTCCAAGTGCTGTGATGTCAATTCTTGACTCATCTTAACTCAAGTCATTTGTTACAGGTAAACGTCCACATCACGCCTAAGATGTTTTAAATACTCTTTTGTTTAGACCTATACCAAGTATATATGACGGCCGTGTTGACGCTGCCTACATGCCAAAAAATGCCAGCATACTGAGAATCATAAAAGGTACATAATTATGTTCTTTACGTGTTTTGTGTTATTTAGAAAGCAAAGGAAAACGGCATGAAGTAAATATTGTTTACAGAAGCTTACGGCCAGTAAATATTATATGGTTAATTTGCAACGTCCTATAAAGCATGCGTTGTTCGTCATTTTTTTTACATCCAAACCCGGAATTAGAAATGTTTGATGGCTGAGCCAGAAACAAAAACAGATGTGAATAAACATTAAAGAAATATGACTGCTCCAGAAGGGATATAATCTGTCTTGCACACAATTCGTAATGCCTTTAAGAACGTGGGGAGGTTCTAATTTCTTTCAAGGTGTGCTCTAGTACCACTGTCTAAACGCCAAGGAAAAACGGTCTTTGTCTGAACATGACCGTCAGTAGTTACTACGACGGTCCCGGTCTAAATAACCAGTCTGAGGAGTGACGAGGGGTTCGCAGTAAAACTCTTCTACGTCGATGTAGGCCCAAGAGGGCTGATCTCCACCTCCATGTACAATGTGCTAAATAAAGCAATTGGGCTTGCGAAGAGACGAGCGTAAGCAGATACTTAAACAACTGGGTAAAGCTGCTGAAAGGGCTTCGAGCTGACTGTGGGCGGAACGGAACGGAACAACGTGGGAGTTTGCCTCGATAGACTGGTCCGAGCTCTAGTGGAAAAAAAGCTTTCAAATCATTAAAGCCAGTGTTGTTCTACCAACGTCTGCCCCTTCTACCGCCAAAGTCTGTCCGATTAACGTCTGTCTGATGAACCAGCCGTGTCACTCTTGTCATGGAGGTAGGTGCACAATTTGCTGCCCTGAGCGACGATATGTATAACTATATTCTTAGGTCAACACTAATTCTCAGACACTTTTATTGAAAGAAAAGTGTACAAGAAAGAGCAGTGAAAACAAAACGCTATTTTGAACGAATTACAAGAGTTACTTCCCTTCTTGTCTGTGTGGGTTTTTCCCTGCGTTTTGTCCCAGCATAAAAGTCCATGGGCCCCAATGGGGTTTAAGGTGGGGGGGGGGGGAATAGAACCAGTTCACACCATAATACTGAACGTGTGCTACAAGCATTCTCTCTACACACAGTGTAGCTGCGTTATTCAATTGATATTCCCAATGGAAACCAAGCAGTATAAATCATTGGAAAACATGCGCTGTCACATATCACTCCTGTCGCGTGCCTGATTTAAGGATTTCTTCTTAAGAACCAACAGCACTCAGAAATAATTATGTTGAGTCGTTGGCTTGTATTGGTCTAAGGGATGCCCCGTGGCCAATATACGCTCAACTTATTTCTGGAGTAGGGCAACTCAAGTTTTGGCACTTCATATATATATATATATATATATATATATATATATATATATATATATATATATATATATATATATATATATATATATATATATATAATATTCCTGGGCACACTTGGTTAGACGCCCCCACTACTATAAAAAGATAGCCCCCAGGTTATGATAGTCTACTATCATAACTATGTTAACACAAATGAAAATATTTAATTGAACATACGTGTATTTTAGACAGCTAAGAACATGAATGAGTGACACTCCAGTCAATAGTGAAACTTTAGAAATACTGTAATACGTGTAACACATACATTATATAAGAATCAGCAAAGAACTTCAAGAACCCAAAGTGATAAGAAGGACCAAACTTTCAACTCGTTCTGGACTTGACTGAACGTGTATGAATGTTCCAAAGTCTGCCTTTCTCATCCCAATGATCAGTATGGACATTTAATAGTGAAGCCTGGCAATAAACCCATGAGTGTCCGCACTTATCTGAATACTTGGTTTCTTGAACTGGCTGGATGTTCAGTCACCCTGTTGTTATGTTCAAGACAGTCCCACACTAGACACTCGAACACTGGAGATACACCCAAGATCCTGGAGAGGATGTCAGGTACCAAGTCAAACACTTGAAGCACAAACAAACTGCCAAATACATGATGGTGGAGGTACTACACCCATAATGTTGTCTGTAGACCAACTGGAGGATCTCATTACTTGATGATCACAGTTAGGTTCACCATCTGATGCCCACCACTGGCTTAGACATAGGTGATTCCCTTGTAGGTGGTTTTGTGGACTGCCTGGCTTCCAAGGAAATATCATCCTGTATCACGAAGGAACTCAGAATTAGCAGTCATCTCAGGGGTTACATGTCAAGCTCAGTTTATTAATATCCACATTAGTAATCATTCAGAGGACAGCTCTGAGGATAATGAGACAGTATAAGTCTCTACATATCATCTCTATTGTTCAGTCAGAAACAGTGACAGGAGATGAGTGCCAGAGTGGAGACCAATAGACTATAAAACAGAGAACATCAACTCTCCTCGTCCACTCGCACTTAAAGACACACATCCCATCTCTCTCGCATATATATTTTTCATATCATCCCCCGTCTGTTTACCGTACACACTTTGTTGTGCTACAATTAACCTTTGACCCAGAACGCCAAGCTTGCTTTTGTCACAGCAACAAGCCGGCCAAAAATGACCCTGTTTACCTGTGTCTATTAATCAACACAAATCCTACGTTTGGTAATAGAATAATTACTTGTAGGGTTTAATATCTTTACAAATGGTGTGGGTTATTTAGAGCACAAACTATTTAGTCTGTACAGGGGAAGGTCTAAAGGTTCAGATCCGGATCTATGGACATCAAGAACGGTCGAACTCTGTGCGATCACATAACTGATACCGCTCTATCTACAGCAGTGACGCTTTTAAAAAGACATCATTTATGGTACTCGTAAACTATAATTAACTTACCCAAGCTTAGGAAATGTCCTAGACACCACAGGCCGCCTCCTCAAAGCATAAATGTACGAGGCCCCGTTGAACACATCTGTTCTACTAGGCAGTCAGGCAGAAAAATTCCCGCTTCAACTACGCTTAGCGTCACTAGAAAAGAAGTCCCATTGTATTCCTGCCCAAGGAGTAAACTGGTTGACAGGAATTTCTAAATAAAATACCATAATTCGCCAACCTATAGTTGCAAGTTTAAAAATGAAGATATATCAAAGCAACTAGAAGGTCTAGAAATGACTATTTTACCAGATACAGGTATAGATCAATATAGGGGACTATATACCTTTCCGGACGGGTCTAAGTTTGAAATTTTGCTGAGCGAGAGGGATATCAGGTCCTGACTCGTCCACTGAGTGTGGTGGCTGTTCAATTCATGACAGCGCCTCACCACATCCTTCATAGAGGCCTGACTGGATCTTTGCTCATGGAATTTCAGTGTACTGGGAAATGAACACGCGGTCATATTGGCTGGCTTTTGTGGAATTTTTATGCATGATAAGGAAGACGCAGTCAATAGAACTCGTGTGCTCTTTAAGTGGAGAAGAACGTAGAGCTCATGGAAGATCAAGAACAAGATGGAAAAAAAAAAATATTAAAAAAAACTCTACAACAGCACGATGTGTCTGTGGTCGGGGCCGGCAGAAGAGCATGATGCAGAACCTTATATGTTGAGTTGAGTTGAGTCAAGAATCAACATCAAAGCACTCGAGGCATTCCCATGCATGCTCCCTCCTCGTATTCAGCAGCCTGTGCAGAGTTCCAGTACTGATGGTAATGGGCAAAATCTAGTTAAATGTCCGTCTTGCCTTTCCTCTGAGTGTAGTGAGCCGGCCAGACCCTCTGGTTACACCCAGGTGCCTTATTCTCTCCAGGCCATAATAATCTTCTATCTCTACTGATTCCATTGCTTGTTCCCTTATATCTCCCTCGACACCCGAAGCGGTTTTTAAAAAAAAATGAAGTGAAGAAAAAAAGAAAAGGCGTACGAATTTCCTATATCACATATTTTTTAAAACATCTTTAGGCCAGTCATATTATAAAAAGTCGGAAGATGTGAACCAGCGACATTGCACACGGTCATAAACCGTAAGTGCTTTGCCACCAGTACGGATAGCTGATAAGATACAGTCTGCCTGTGTCGCTGTCCGCACGCAACTCCGTAGCTACCTCCGACGTTCCTCCATTTACCCCAGAGTTTTGACGCTGTTACCCATTACCTAGAGGCTGGGTGAACACTGGAACAGCCCAGTTTCTAACACCGACAGTGGGCTGCAGCGAATCGAAGCTGGATTTGAAAGCCAGTTTCCTATCGACCGCGCTAACGCGGCTCCCTGTCATATCTATATATATATATATATATATATATATATATATATATATATATATATATATATATATATATGTTGTGTGTGTGTGTGTGTGTGTGTGTGTGTGTGTGTGTGTGTGTGTGTGTGTGAGAAAGTAAAGTAAAGATCCGTTTTCACGCCTTTAATAGCATCGGGGATATCTGAAGAGAACCCATATTTTAAAGACCAATCGGCACTAGGTGGTTAATGTGGTCACATTACGCTGGCCGTCTTTACTTCCCCAGGACAACATCCTAGTACCCATTTTAGACTGGGTCGACCTGCGACGCCCCATACCATGATAAAAATGCACAGTGAGTTTCGATGGCGGTACGTTGGAATAAGGAGTCGGACTCGCAACGCCTAAGCCACGGACGCCACATATTTATATAGAGACGCTCAGTTAGGTGATTTGGCGTACTATTATTTATAACTGTAACATTGTCTATTCATGTGATATTCTTATGCAAACTTCCTAGCTGCAACGTTCACTTTTAGTTCGTGATTATATTACTATCAAGCTCATTAATTCTACTTTTCATATATGTTTCCGACACCCCCCTCCCCGAAGCAACGACATGTGTTAAAAATTGCACTCCTTGATTTGTAACGATAGCATATAGTTCCCTCTTATATTTTTTATTTGTGTACAAAACATAGACAGGAAATGGAACCTTCCCAGATTGATACTACAAAAAAGTAAAGGACCTCTTTCAACGCCTTTAGGCGTATAGAGCATATAGGACTAGACATATATTTTACAGACCAATTGGCACAAGATGGGTGATTTGGTCAGCAGATTGATACTACTGCTGCGTTCAATGACCATTTAAAGTTCTTGAGAAAGCTGATCGGCTTGCATGTAAAGCTACTGTGGAGGGCGGACAAGCCATGGACCACGCTCATATTCTGAATAATCTACAAGAAGTCGGGCGTTTGCGAGAATCAGGTGACTACTGAGAAGCTGCAACAGTAACCAGACTGCAAGAACAACATGTTAAAAGCGGTGTAGCCAGACAAGAGCGCTGTGCAGGAAGACGTAGAAGAATAAGAAACTAAGTGCGATGAGGATAATCTGTCGACTAACTAAGGAAGGGATCGAGCACACATGGACCGAATGGTTCGATCTGCAATGATGATAATCTGTCGACTAACTAACTAAGGAAGGGATCGAGCACTCATAGACCGAATGGTTCGATCTGCAAGGAGGATATTCTGTTGACTAACTAACTAAGGAAGGAATCGAGCTCTCATGGACCGAATGGTTCGATCTGCAATGAGGATAATCTGTCGACTAACTAACTAAGGAAGGGATCGTGCTCTCATGGACCGAATGGTTCGATCTGCAATGATGATAATCTGTCGACTAACTAACTAAGGAAGGGATCGAGCACTCATTGACCGAATGGTTCGATATGCAATGAGGATAATCTGTCGACTAACTAAAGAAGGAATCGAGCACTCATGGACCGAATAGTTCGATCTGCAATGAGGATAATCTGTCGACTAACTAACTAAGGAGGGGATCCGAGCATTTATGGGCCAAATGGTTCTATGTGCGATGAGGATAAACTGTCGACTAACTAACTAAGGAGGGGATCCGAGCATTTATGGGCCAAATGGTTCTATGTGCGATGAGGATAAACTGTCGACTAACTATCAATTTCTCACGTCACTTTGGGTCAAATTGTTCTATGTGCGATGAAACTGTCCTCTGGTACCTAAAGAAATTATGTTTTTACAGTTGGACACATTACAGAATTCAAGTTGCTTGCATTTGTTCCTACTTCGACAGGGTGTGAAATGTGGCAGGTTGATGCTGGTAACTTCAGTAATGTACTGACTCCTCGGTCACAAATGTCGCCCTGTGTACAGCCTGATGATGCTGTAGTTTGGCAATCCAGACTGTATATATTTAAAGGTAAGACCATTAATGAAAGTCGTCACGAAAGCTGAAATGCTTTGTTTTGTATGGGATGTTACTGTTGTTGTACGGAAAATTGTGAACATTAAATGGACTGTTGTTGTACGGAAAACTGTGAACATTAAATGGATGCTAGTTGTTCAGAAATGTGTGAACCTCGGTTAAATGTCGCCCTGTTGTTGTACGGAAATGCTGTGAACGTTAAATGGACTGTTGTATGTAAGGTAAAACTGTGAACATGAAAATGGACTGTTGTTGTACGGAAAACTGTGAACATTTAATGGACTGTTGTTGTACGGAAAACTGTGAACGTTAAATGGACTGTTGTTGTACGGAAAACTGTGAAAATTAAATGGACTGTTGTTGTACGGAAAACTGTGAACATTAAATGGACTGTTGTTGTACGGAAAACTGTGAACGTTAAATGGACTGTTGTTGTACGGAAAACTGTGAACATTAAATGGACTGTTGTTGTACGGAAAACTGTGAACGTTAAATGGACTGTTGTTGTACGGAAAAATGTGAACGTTAAATGGACTGTTGTTGTACGGAAAACTGTGAACGTTAAATGGACTGTTGTTGTACGGAAAACTGTGAACGTTAAATGGACTGTTGTTGTACGGAAAACTGTGAACATTAAATGGGATGAAGTCAAGAAAGCCAGGGAAAGCAAATAAATGTTTGGATAACTGTTGGTACCAACAGTCGGAACAAAGACCTGGGTGACAATATATTGGACCACGACCGGCTCCAGCTGACGGGCCGTGCTGCTAACGTCACCGGGTCGGGCTAACGATGCGTTAAAGCAGCAGTTCTCAAACTGGGTGCCGAAGCACACTGAGGTGCCGTTAGCGTATGTTAGGGGAGCCGCGGAAATAATCAAGTAAAGTCGGCTAAAAATTGTGAAATTATTAAAGAAGGAATGTGGATACTTGAAAGTTAAAAATCTAAGTTGTCCTTCCTAGCCACGGTCGAAAATAGTTTATTTATTGTTTTAGAACCACTGCGTTAACGCATCTTTAGCCCGAAATGGTGACGTCAGCAGCACGGCCTGTCAACTAAAGCCGGTCTTGATTGGACACATCATGAGGAGGAGCAGAGATCGAAATACGATACAAGCACTGAAACGAGACATTGATGGACTAAAGAAACCAGGACTTCAAAAAGAGAAATATTTACCCGGACGCTGCTGAGAGAGGCCAAAGCTGCTGTCCTGAATCCCGTCAATGTTGGCACAGAATAAAATGGAATGAAGGAATAGACTCTGAGCCCTATATGACATATAATGGTATGATGTTGAATGTTTTTGTTTTTCAACCCTCTTGATGAAGTTTTTCACCAGGGACACAGATGAGCATCATATATTTAGTACATTATAGTCCTTAATAGTCACTTCATAGTTAGTGCATATTTGTGTATTAGTGATGTGTTGTTCTTTATGTGCTGATAAAGGCTAATCGCAGCATCCTTTGTTTGTTTATGGTGATTGATTTTGTAAAGCTGACATAAACTTAAGTTCCTTCGTATCCCTCTTTTTTTTTTTTTTCTCCTCTGTATATTTTCCTACCCTTTTGAAAACTTGTTTTTCAATAGTATGCTGCCTATTTTTCTAGTTACTATTGTTAAAAATAGTCTGTTCAATCTTATTTAGAGAGCCAGAAAGACCGTTCTAAAGAGCTTAATAAATCTTTATTTTCCTTTACCAGAGTCAATTAGTTAGGCGATTAGTGACAAATTATTTGATGTGGTTTTATAGACGAATAATGAGAATACCTTGGATAGATAACAAGAGTTATGAAGATGTCTTGAAAGGAAATGACCCACAAAGAGAACTGATTTCCCATACCAAAAGGAAGCAATCTACATTCTTGGATCATGTGATAAAAGAAAACTAGAGTATATCGTGACGGTTGGAAAGTAGGAGGGGAAAGAAGGTACATGGCGATCGAGACAAAACACGGTAGACAGTTCAACATCATCGCATGGAAAAACATCTGTGTCAGAACTGATTAAAAGTACGCGAGACAGGAGATTATGGATAGATATCACTTCTAATGCCACACAATAGGGATTAGAAAAGAAGAAGCCGTGTTGAACTTAATAACCTGGTCTGAAATTAATTCTTCTTGTGCACTTTTATTTCCATTCTGCTTGTTTATAACATTTCCTTTCTCTCGTTACCCTAATTACGCGCAATAACCCGGGCACAATATCAGTGTTGCTATATCTTTTTTTTTTTTTTTAAACTGTGGTGCTCTGCTTAATGTATTTTGACCTTTTCTCTTGCTCTAAGAACGTGCCCATTTAGTTAAATGGACAACCAGAATCTGGTATGAGCTCAGATCGCTCTCTTTGTACCGTTTGTGTGGGCACGTGCGTCCATTACAGGGAGGCAATCCTGCAGGTTTGTGTCCAGAGTTACAAAAAGGACCCCTTTTCTTGTCTTAGGGAGTATTGGGTATATAGGGCTAGACCTAAATTTTATAGACCACTCGGCACAAACCAGATGTTACCGGATGAGAAAGACAAAGTTTAGCCTGATTTTCATGCCTGCATAAAAGTTCTCCTTCTCCTTTTTAGCATTCACTACCTGCAAACACTGGAGGAAAGTTTATGTTGTTCGTCCACTTCTCGATGTTGTTCTCGTTCCACAACTATAATTGTGCGTGCACATCAGCTTTTCAAATTTTCAAATTCTCTTTCGTTGACCACTTTCAGCTAGGTCCGCTCACATTTCTGCTCACTTTCCTTTCAGCTATATTTGTGGTGACGTTTTCTGGTCTAGATCTCATTTGATTTTGGATTGTGTTCAATATTGTTGCTTTCTATTTGTTGTGGTTTCCGCTCTTGCTGTTGCTTTTGTAATTTGGCTGGCCCTGTGCTGCGCTCAAGATGATTGGATGTTGAATCGATTTATTGTGGTATTCCTTGGCTGTTTGTTGTTTTCGGGGAAAGTAAATTGCCTATCCTAATAAGGACCGGCGGTCGATTGACTTGGGCAGGTACTGATGACAATACTGGTGAGGTCTGGTATTATTTGGTGATTTTCTCGTATCCTTGTTGTAAAGTACTGCTCCTACATAGGGTTCAGCTTTAGAAGTCTAGCTTATTTATAGGCAGCCTGTCGGTCCCTTGCCTCTCACTTGGAGGGAGACACCCTCATTCAAAAATTATGTGGAAGCAGCAGAGATGTCGATTTATAGACGAATTCTCCCCGTGTGGGTTCCGGGGTCCCATTGTGGGGAAGGGGGGGGGGGGCAAGAATAGACCCTGTGCCTGCTCAAAAGCATGTCGTAAGAATCAATAGTTAGTTAGTTAGTTAGTTAGTTAGCTAGCTAGTTAGTTAGTTAGTTAGTTAGTTAGTTAGTTAGTTAGTTAGTTAGTTAGTTAGTTATTTAGTTAGTTAGTTAGTTAGTTAGTTAGTTAGTTAGTTAGTTAGTTAGTTAGTTAGTTAGTTAGTTAGTTAGTTAGTTAGTTAGTTAGTTAGTTAGTTAGTTAGTTATTAGTTAGTTAGTTAGTTTAGTTAGTTAGTTAGTTAGTTAGTTAGTTAGTTAGTTAGTTAGTTAGTTAGTTAGTTAGTTAGTTAGTTAGTTAGTTAGTTAGTTAGTTAGTTAGTTAGTTAGTTAGTTAGTTAGTTAGTTAGTTAGTTAGTTAGTTAGTTAGTTAGTTAGTTAGTTAGTTAGTTGGCTAGTTAGCTAGTTAGTTAGTTAGTTAGTTAGTTAGTTAGTTAGTTAGTTAGTTAGTTAGTTAGTTAGTTAGTTAGTTAGTTAGTTAGTTAGTTAGTTAGTTAGTTAGTTAGTTAGTTAGTTAGTTAGTTAGTTAGTTAGTTAGTTAGTTAGTTAGTTAGTTAGTTAGTTAGTTAGTTAGTTAGTTAGTTGGTTGGCAGGCTGGCTGGCTGGCTGGCTGGCTGGCTGGCTGGCTGGCTGGCTGGCTGGCTGGCTGGCTGGCTGGCTGGCTGGCTGGCTGGCTGGTTGGTTGGTTGGTTGGTTGGTTGGTTGGTTGGTTGGTTGGTTGGTTGGTTGGTTGGTTGGTTGGTTGGTTGGTTAGTTGCTAGTAGTTAGTTAGTTGGCTAGTTAGTTAGCTATTTGGCTACTTAGTTAGTTAATTAGTTAAGTTATTTATTTATTTAGTAAGGTTATTTTTGTTAGTTAGTTATCTAGTTAGCTAGCTAGCTAGCTAGTTTGCTAGTTAGTTAGTTAGTTAGTTAGTTAGTTAGTTAGTTAGTTAGTTAGTTAGTTAGTTAGTTAGTTAGTTAGTTAGTTAGTAAGTTAGTTAGTTAGTTAGTTAGTTAGTTAGTTAGTTAGTTAGCTAGTTAGTTTAGTTATTTAGTTAGTTTACTTAGAATAGTTATTATAGTTAGTTACTTTAGTTATTTTGTTACATAGTTTAGTTAGTTTTGTTAGTTTAGCTAGTTAATTTAGTTACTTTAGTTTTGTACGTTTATTTAGTTTAGTTAGTTACTTTAATTAGTTTCTTCAGCTAGTTAGTTAGTTATTTCCTCTTGAGCCTAGGGCGGCGCATAGGACAGAGGTCGTAGTTCTCTATGTCTGGCAGTTCGTTGCCAGCTGAAAGAGTTAAGTATCAAATGCATTAGCAAAGATTTCCTTGTTATCGTACGCCAATCTTTTCCAGGCTGTTACGCAACTCTGCAAGGTTTGGAACCTATACCTCTAGCAGATTGGGGCTTGCCTTGTGACATCGACGCCGCTTTTAACAACAGGGATCACATTGCCATCTTCAAGGGAAATGACTACTGGAAATATACAGGCCAAGGGAACGCGACCCGCGATGGAAAGACATTGGACTGGACAATTGATGCAGTCCGGTGTTCCCATTAAATTGTCTTCAGTTAAAAATTGTAAGAAAATCAGGACATCTCTCAGAACATTGGAGTAATAAAAAACAGTTGTTCCCTGTGATGAAAGTGTTTTCAGTTGCATGGTTCAATGCTTCCAGTATCTCTTCATACATGTTACGAGGTCTTTCCCCTGTATGGTAGGCAATTATTTGGGTTTTTTTTTTTTTTTTCAGTTGTGTTTTATGTTTTTTTCAGTTGGGAATGGCAGCCGGGCGTTTCTGATCCGAGTGTTGGCACTTTGTGTCAGCGGGTGTTAATAGCTTGTTGTGCGGTCCTGGTGGGATTGAGTATCACACAGGGTAGTTACAAATTTGTTAATCCCCTCTCACATTGGACAGCAGGTTGTCTCGCAAAAATGCTCGTTGGCACTATAGGGTCTAGGCCCCCCCCCCCCCCTCTTTGCACTCCCAGAAAAACAGGGGTTGGGGGGTCCTCGGGTTTCTCAGTTTAGAATGCTGAGTTCGTTCTGCAACTTCCTGTAAAGGATACGCAACTAACCTTGTTAAGAACTTATTTGACCCGAGAATTGACCATAAAAAGTAACGTTAAAAACTGACCTTTCAATTTATTTGACTGTTTATGGTTTTACAAGACAATTTGACATCCAGAGTTGTATCATTGTCCTCTATACGGTTGCACGCAGTTACCAGCGGTTCTGGTTACCACACAAGTAAAAGTTTTTATATAATCTCCACATGCAAATGTTGCGTGAAATAGTCTAAATTATGTTCAGTACATTATTTGCTTTATTTCATATCTTGTCGCAGTTATCATTTTCTTATATCTATGTGTATCAAGTAAAGGTCACGACCAGAGACAACCTAGCAAAGGTCAGCAACAGCACTGCGGGAGGAAAGGTCACCAATGTTGCTCAATTTGTTTTTAACATGCGTAATGTTACGATTAGATTTGAGATTTTTCAGTGAAGCGAATCTATAAAAGTGGGTAAATTTTACGCTAGTCTCCCCATTTGCACACCGCTACACACTAGCTCGTTTCTGATTGGACGACCTACTGGCCACCTTACCTCTGATAGATCGGCCTCGAGAGATTCGACATTCACGCAAGGTCACGGGAATATTCCACGATCGCGCTCATACCGCGAGTTGTATATTTCACCATGATAGAGCTTTCAACACTTCTAAAACATTTAAATACTGGGTCTAACACACAATCTTCCTAGAGTATGACAAAACCTATGTCTCTTTCTCGGAAATAAAAACGTAAATGCCAGACAACAACAGACTGCGACACCAATAACCTCGACCGCGGTAGACTAGTCAAACCAACTTATCAATAAAGCTGACCTAAAACCAATGATGTGTAAATACGGAGACCAGCGTAAAATTCACCCAAAAGTGGTATTAGTTTGCTTCATCATCAACATCAGCATCATCATTGCCAGCCTTAGGACCAGCATGAGCATCACCAGAAAATTCCAGGTTCGTCTCCATTCAGGCTTGAAGTTTTTTTTTGGCGCCCCGTTAGCGCATTCGAATCGCTTTCAAATCCAGCTGCGACTCGCTGCAGCACACGGTTGGTGTTCGAATCCACTCGGTTCCCCGAGGTTCACTCAGTCTCTAGGTAATGGGTACCAGAGTTTACACTCTGGGGTGAATAGAGGAACGTCGCTGTAGCTACAGAGTTGCGTGCGGACGGCGACACAGACGGACAGTTTCTTATCAGCTGTCCTTACTGGTGTCAGAACACTTATGGTTTATAACCATGTGCAATGACGCTAGTTCAAATCTCCTGACTTTACCTTTTTTTTTTCTCTTTAAACGGCATTATCATCATTATCATTACCAACGCCAGTGCAACCATCATCATCCACACTGTTACATTTTTGTATAAGCTGAATAAGTTTCAATTTAGGCTCTCACAATCTGAGGAGGGCTCAGAATCGCTTTAAAAAAAATACATTTGAAATTCAATTTTCTTTCATATATTATAATTACCCCCTCCTCCCGTCCCCTTTTCTTGAAACTATTTTTCTTATTTTATGAATATTTCTTTTCAATATAATATCAGGCTTGTATTCAATCTAATTTGTAGCCTGTTCAGGTTTAATTCAAATTACCGTTCGATATCAATGATTTTGGTTTTGGGAAATCAAGAAAAGACGGTCTCACGTTGTAACTTAAAGTCTTTTAGAAAATTGTGTTACATAATTTCAGTGATTTTGCAAACATATTCTTTATTATGCAAAGATTAAAAAGCATAAAGAACCTATGGCAAAGCACTTGTAAATTGTTTAAAGTAAAAATCTTGAGATCATGCATTTTTCCTGTGGCAGCTAATGGCTGTGAGTCTTGGATTCTAACTCAGTCACTGGTGAAAAAGATTGGAGCCTTTGAGATGAAATGCTATAGAAACATTCTTAGAATACCATGGATCAAGCAGAGGAAACACATCGACATCCTGAACGAGTTAAACAATAAGGAGAACTGGCTCATGGACAGCATCCTGTCCCGGAAGTTGGGATATTTTGGCCACATCGAGCATCATGGTGGCTTGGAAAAGACGGTTGATGGAGCGTGCAGTTTGTGGAAGTCGAGGCAGGGGTCGACCACTGAGAAGATGGATACAAAACATTGAAGATGCATTGGCATTGAAAGCACATGGGGCCGGAGAGCTAGCTAGGGAAAGGGATACTTTCAGGCGTGCCGTGAAGAGAGCGATGTTCTGTAAAGGACTTACTGATCGATGATGATGATTCTGTATTATTCTTCCGACAACAAATTAAACGGCAATGTGTTTCTATTATCTATATATTTAAGGAGGAGTCGCCGTAGCGTTGGCAGCTCGGAAAGTCGTGGGTTTGCGCCCTGACAGAACCGGACTTTTTTCAGAAATGACCTTGACCCCTATGTCGACCCAGCCTTGAGTGGATGTCAGGTGCAGTCCTGGGAAGTAAAAGCGGCCGGAGTGAGGCTGACCACATCACCCACCAAGTGCCGATTGGTCTATAAAAATATAGGTATAGCCCTATCTTTCCAATACGCCTAAAACAAAGGGTCCTTTATATACATTCAAAGAGTAGATGTTTTAAATGTTTCTAAGATTAGCAGGTGTGATTAGAAAGAGGTAGAGCCTCACAACTTTCTATAGCTCTGGGTCATAAAGTCTAAATCCGGCCCCGTCGGTCATCTCGATGTGGTAGCCTTTACTTCCCATGGCATTACAGAGCACCGTATACGTTGTTGGGGGCCCTCTAATTATTACTTCCTCACACGCAACAAAGATTTGTTCAGGGCACCCTCAGTAACTCTAGCTTGTATAACAACAAAGGATGTAAAGCGCACTCATTAATTCTACCTACCAGACAACACAAGATGTAAAGCGCACTCATTAATTCTACCTACCAGACAACACAAGATGTAAAGCGCACTCATTAATTCTGCCTACCAGACAGCACAAGATGTAAAGCGCACTCATTAATTCTACATACCAGACAACACAGGATGTAAAGAGCACTCATTAATTCTACCTACCAGACAACACAAGATGTAAAGCGCACTCATTAATTCTACATACCAGACAACACAAGATGTAAAGCGCACTCATTAATTCTACCTACCAGACAACACAAGATGTAAAGCGCACTCATTAATTCTGCCTACCAGACAGCACAAGATGTAAAGTGCACTCATTAATTCTACATACCAGACAACACAGGATGTAAAGAGCACTCATTAATTCTACCTACCAGACAACACAAGATGTAAAGCGCACTCATTAATTCTACATACCAGACAACCCAAGATGTAAAGCGCACTCATTAATTCTACCTACCAGACAACACAAGATGTAAAGCGCACTCATTAATTCTACCTGCCAGACAACACAAGATGTAAAGCGCACTCATTAATTCTACCTACCAGACAACACAAGATGTAAAGCGCACTCATTAATTCTACCTACAAGACAACACAAGATGTAAAGCGCACTCATTAATTCTACCTGCCAGACAACATAAGATGTAAAGCGCACTCATTAATTCTACCTGCCAGACAACATAAGATGTAAAGCGCACTCATTAATTCTACCTGCCAGACAACACAAGATGTAAAGCGCACTCATTAATTCTACCTGCCAGACAACACAAGATGTAAAGCGCACTCATTAATTCTACCTACCAGACAACACAAGATGTAAAGCGCACTCATTAATTCTGCCTACCAGACAGCACAAGATGTAAAGTGCACTCATTAATTTTACATACCAGACAACACAGGATGTAAAGAGCACTCATTAATTCTACCTACCAGACAACACAAGATGTAAAGCGCACTCATTAATTCTACATACCAGACAACCCAAGATGTAAAGCGCACTCATTAATTCTACCTACCAGACAACACAAGATGTAAAGCGCACTCATTAATTCTACCTGCCAGACAACACAAGATGTAAAGCGCACTCATTAATTCTACCTACCAGACAACACAAGATGTAAAGCGCACTCATTAATTCTACCTACAAGACAACACAAGATGTAAAGCGCACTCATTAATTCTACCTGCCAGACAACATAAGATGTAAAGCGCACTCATTAATTCTACCTGCCAGACAACATAAGATGTAAAGCGCACTCATTAATTCTACCTGCCAGACAACACAAGATGTAAAGCGCACTCATTAATTCTACATACCAGACAGCACAAGATGTAAAGCGCACTCATTAATACCACCTCACAGACTACACAGACATTGTTAAGAGCACTCGTTTATACTACATTGAAGACTACACACACGTTAGGTGCACTCATTAATCCTCACAAACAAGGAGCAAAATATTAGGCGCACACATTAATATTACCTCACAGACTACACACCAAAAGGTTAAGCCCACTCATTAGTACTACATCACACACAACACAAAATATTTAGCCCACTTATCACTTATAAAGACTACCTCACAGACTACACTCTCACACACACCTACACAAACAAACTATTGAACCCACTAATGATTAC